AAGCACGCCCTTTGAGTGGTTATTCACTCAACCTTTCGACTCTTTCAGATTCAATCATTTTCAAACATTCTCCTAAGTCGAATGCTCGTCCGCATTCGCAACCCATTTCATTCGCAATTCCTCGTGGTCTCGATGTTAGGAGCACCCTCAGGGACTAATATCGTTTCTCACAACCCTAACACTTGACACGTCGTCCAGTCGGTTCCATTTTCAAACGAATCCTCGATACGTCGTCGAGCCGTTTCCAAACCAACTTCCTTTTGGCCTCGCATGCCATTTTTTCGATTCGATCCTTTCACAAACATTTTTAAAAACTTACGAAAGAGAGATATTCTTAGAATCTAGCATTCTCTGAATATTTGAATGAGTAACTCTCGAGGCGCGCCCTTGAGTTGTTATTAATTCGTTCTTTCATTTTCAAAACATCCAACTCTTTATCTTCAATTTACTCAGTCGATTCCCGAAAGAATTGAGTTCTTGGAGTCTCGCATTCCTTGAATTCTTGAGTGACAAACTCTTGAGACGCGCTCTTGGGTTGCTTGTCAGTCACCTTTTCGTCTCAAACTTAACGTCAAAACCAATTCAAACCTCACTTTTTTCGTGGTCGTCTCCACGAACTACGGACGCTCTGATTCTTCATTCTCGTCTGAATGTAAGATACGTAGGCACAAGATTGCGATGATCTTGGCGAGCACATTTCCCATTTTCTCCCCTATTCCACAATCCCGTCCATCTTTCGTCCATCCCCCATCCTTTTCCCGTAGTCGAACTACGACGCTCTGATTTCTCATTCTCGTCCGAATGAGCATACGTAGGCACAAGGGCCCCAATCCTTGGCGAGCACCCTATTCTTTAATCACCCATCTCTCCTTTGCGTCTTTAACCTTTTAACCTACCAATTCTACCTTTACCAACGAGAAGAAAACAAGTAAACCTAAACAACACTCCCCACAATTACCTTAAGAGGTTCCCGTCGAGTACGACGAACGTGAGGGGTGCTAATACCTTCCCCTCACGTAACCGACTCCTGAACCCGGAACACGGTTGCGACAACCCTGTTCCTATCCTTTCGTTTCAAGAGGTTTTCTCGATATTTTCCTCTCCCGTTTGTTCGGGAAAAATAAAGTTCGGTGGCGACTCTGTCGAACCGCATTTCCGCGCCTTTTTGCGCGAGGGTCGTATTTTCGAATGAATTTTCGAGGTGCGACAGTATGGAAGCCACACCATGTCTACAAGGAATCCCAACAAGATCCCAAAAGTTGCATGAACATTATTGTTTCTCTAAATCCACTACAAAATTATCAGTGAACAAAACATGTGTAACTTGAAAGGTTAACCTACCAACATAGGTTGCTGTCCAACTAGCACTTTTTTCAATCTCTCTATCTAGCCTCCTTAAGGGTTTTGTCATTATTTGCCCTTTATAACTTTCTACCTTTTCTCTAAGTGTGGCAAACCTCCCCATTAGTTAATTCCTAATCCATTCAAATATTGTAATGATTGGTTTATCTCTTTGTAACAAAATGGTTGTATTTAAAGACTCACTTAAATTGTTCATCGACATCACACTTTGAGAAAAAGGGAAAAGCATGCTTACACCATTTTATTTTAGGAATTGATTCTAACAACTCATAAGCCTCAAAGTTGACCTCCTTGATCATGAACATCCTAGCCTCATGTGCCTTAAAATAAGTTGCTTTTACTGCAGCCATCATAAGGTCTCTAAACAAGCTTCATCGTCCAAACTTTTTTTTGAAGTTAGCATACAAGTTCCTTAAACAGAACCTGTGTTCATATGCAGGATACTCCTCTTTAAAAACCCGAACAAGACCCTAAACCAAGAAAACCTTATTCGCATTAGTACATTCAATTGATTGAAAATTATCATATGGCAAATATTGATGAAAGTACAACTTACCTTTTGTTGGTCAGAGATGAAACACCATCTGCCATCTTCTATGTCTTCAATAAGCAATTTTAGAAACTAGCTCCATGGATCCTTTGATTCAGTCTCAACAACGACAAAGGCAATTGGCAAATACTTATCATTTGGGTCTCTCCCAACAGCAATGAGTAACATCCCACCATACTTATGTTTCAAATGACACCCATCTATACCAATGAATGGCCTGCATGCCTTTTTCAAGGCATTCTTGGTCACATTAAAACACATATAGCACCTCTCAAATCTTGGTTTTAAGCCAAGACTAGGAACACTGGTGTTGATCTTGAAAGTGTTCCCAACCGAAGCCCTTCTTAACTCAGCAGCATAGGACCGTAAAAAACTAAATTGTTTGCTAGAATCTTCTTCAACAATGTGTCTTGCAATCTGTCTTGCCTTAAATGCTTTGCAACCTGAAACTTCTGTTGCATACCTTTGTCTGACATCTTCTACTACCTTACTTAACCTCATCCTAGAGTTATTCTTTAATCCACCAACAATTACCTTAGCCACCCACTCTGCTTTGACATTTTTGTTGAAGATCTGTCTTCCACATTTGTGCTTTGCAAACAAAGTCTTAATCCTAAATGTGGTGGATGTTAAAATTTTACTATACAACACTCTATAATCACATTTTTCTTATCCTTACAAACTACCTACATCTGTTATCATCATTTTTTCAAACTTAACATCCCTACCATTCAAAATATTGTGCTCCAAAATGACATATTTGAACTGCCTCAAAGAAGAAAACTCCATTCCCGCCTTGAAAACAACATCCTTACTTAAAGATTCTTTTTGATTAAACCTTATTACACATGGTCTTTCATCACAGCTGTCATCATCACCATAATTTTCTAACTCATCAATCATGTAGGCATCCTCAATGACATGTTCCTTACCCATCTCTTTAGTTATAAACATCTTCTTGTCTACATGAGCAGTGCCTTCTTCATTTGCAGCAACTCCATATATTTGTTATACTTTAGCTCCATTATCAAACACTTCATCAAGGCCTTCATCAAACCCTTTCATCCTCTCATCCCCACTATCATCAAAGTGAACTCCTCTAACAAATTCATCACTAGAATTATCATTTTCTTCAACCAACCTGTCAACATCTTCATCACATTTGATTCTCTTTCCCCTTTCTCTAAACCTATCCATAAAGGTATACTTTCCTACAACTCTGGGCTCACAAAATATCTCAATATCAGACTTATTTCCTATAGCATACATAGCTAACTCAGAGGCATCACCCTCATCCTTAAAAGGTTGTAAGTCGTGTTCAAATTATCATTCTTCATGTTTCCACCACATCTTAACACTAACTATATCAAACTCATATTCAATCAACTTAATTAGGTCACATGCTTCAAAGAAAAACCAATAATTAGGGTCTTGTTTATTAAAAACATAAACATCCCCTCCCTCATATCGTATGTTAGGGTCTTTTAGAAAACGACCCTTTGAGTAAAAAAACAACCCTGAAACTATCTATTTCATGTACACAACATTTAACCTAAGTTTAAATTTTACCATTTCAATGTAAAAATGATTTACCCTAATTTTTTCTATAATAGGTGAACAAAATCTTAACATACAACAAAATAACAAATTGAATAAGGAAATAGACCACTGAGAAATGAAATCATGAGGGAACATAAAAGAGATAGTTGCATCTTACCTGGGGAGCACTTGTTCGCTTTCTCAGTATCTTCTTTTTGGGACCATTCCAAAGATGTCGCTTTGGGACCACAACAAACAAACAAATTCTTTATATGAATTGTGCGAATGAATGTTTGTTCTTCCCAGACTTGTGCGAATCAATACTCCTTCTTCATTGACTGCTGCACACCTTCCGCTAAGGCAGCCTGATCTCTTTTGACTTATCTAATGTTTACATGATTTCCTTATTTGCATTTTTCACGTTGGCAAATTGAAATAACACAGATCACACATAATCAAAGTTGCAATTACATGTGGCATGACACATAAGTTTTCGTTAGTGAAAACTAACGGGAAAGACCATTTTGTGAGATGGAAAACTTTATGAGGACTAAAGTTTGAAGAAAATTTTTGTAGGGACTAAACTTGAAAGATGCCATATTTATAGGGACTAAAAATATATTTTACCCTAAAATTATTTTACCATTTTTACACAATTATAAATCATAGACTGAGTATTTATAAATGGTATTTTATACATTTAGAAATGTGTGTATGTTGTATTTCTAATTATATTTTATCATTTCCGTATCACTCAAAACATATGAGTCCCTATATCTTCCTTTTTGTGTGGTTTAGTCCCTAAAACCAAAATCCGCAGGTTTTTGCAGATTTTCCTGCAGATTTAGGCTTTAGAACTAAAACACACGCAAAAAGTGAGATGTATGGACCGAGAAAAAAAATTATAGGAACTAAACTAAAAAATTTGCTAATTTACATAGATCAAAAGTACATTTAAGCTATAAAATTATATTAAAATGTAAAAGTAAATTCTAATAAAAATAATAGAATAATAAGATATGAATTTTATACCTCTTAAAATTTATATTCATATCATTTATTTTTGAAATTTTTAATTTTTTGATATCAAATGCGATAGATCTTTTACCGAGTACAAAAAATTATGTGTATTAATTATGTATTATCTAAAACAAATAAATTTAATTTTTAAAATAATTAATTTTGTCATAAAAAGAAATAGAGACTAAATTTGTTGTGTGTTTGAGTGATATTTAGTATAATTTTAATTTTAACTTATTTAAATGATTTAACGAAATTGCAATTTGCAAGCATGTTGAAAAGTAAAGTATCACGCGAGTTGAGTAAAAAGCATCATGCGCGGGTTCAACGTGTCCATTATCACACGGTTTGTTTCCTCTAACCGAATAAACCAAACTCTTCCAACATTTTCCCCCTTTTCTTTCCCCCGAGAAATCCCACAGCCATTTTCTCAAGAAAATCCCAAAACAACAACAAGAAGAACCGATCGATGAGCTTCGTTCCGTGAACAACTACCACCACTCGAGGACGATGATGAGGTCGACCCCTCATGGAACAAAATCTGAATCTCACATTGCTGACAACTGCGACTGATCCAGAAGATGTTACTGTGATTCAGTGGGAGGATTTTGAGCAAGATCTTGCTAGGTTATCGAGTCTTTCTTCTGCACTCAACCAAGCTAAGGAGAAGAAGCGAAACCTTCAGCATAAACTCGAGTCTCTCATACAGGTAGGGTTTTACGGCTTGCTAATTGAGAATTAGGTTTAGGTTTCTCGAAATTACCAATTTGTCGAATTTTGCATGTTGCTGTGTTTGTAATGATTTTGTGAGCAGGTTAATGGTGAATCATTGGGTCGATTGAATGAACTTGAAGAAATGCGTCAAAAATTGGAATCAAAGAAATTAATGATGGATAATATGTCTATACGTTCTAGGCTGGCAAAGGAGGATGCTGCTAAGCAAGAAGAGCAACTTAGTGGTGCCTTGCAGTCGCTTTTGGTGGCGGGTGGTACTTTCTCTGTTACTAGAAGAAACCTTCAGGTGAATTTATGTTACATTATGTATAAATATTATTTTTTGTTTACAGTTTGCAATTTTCTGTATTCGGGTGTCTATAAATTTAGTTTTCTCACAATGTGTTTAGCTTTTCAGATTGTGTATTGTTTTTGTAAGAAAGTTTTAATGTTGAAGACACAAGCAACAAGTTAGCTAACACAAATCTGGATGGTTATGTGATAATTTCTATTTCGCTTGTTTAATTGGTTGACATTATGAATAATGGTATTTGACATGTTTAGGTGTTTCTTAAGGGTCCTTATGTTAAAAGAAACTACCTCAGACTTCTCTACATTGATGGAAAGTTACTTTCTTAGGAAGTCCTGCTTATATCTTTCTTGCATGTTTTGTCATCCAATTACTTTCTTAGAAAATTACTGGAAAAGACGCTTAAAGTACTAAAACTACCATCCGTGTCTTCTTGTCTTCCTTCTTTTTCATAAGGATGAAACCATGAAATTATCACGAGAAAACCAAATAGACGTTCTTTATATTTATAGCTTGGATGTTACGATTATGTTCTTTGGTGTATTCTACTTTGTAACCAATAAATTCATATATTTACTATATAATTATATAGATTGATGTCTTAAGAAATAGCACCCAACAAATTTATTTAGACACACACAAATAAGTTATTTATTTTTCCATTCATAATTCGTTTACAGGGGAAAATTGTAGTGTCATATGTTACTCCTTTTATTGTAGTTTGAAAGCTGATGATGCTGTTATTACAGGAATCCAGTAGATTACTCTCCGAAGAAGATGGCTATGTTCGTCTGAGAAACTTGCAAAAGATGCTACGGATGAGGCAACAATACATGACATCTCAAATTTTAATGCTGTACCCTGTAAAATTGGTAGTTGGACCAGCACAAGAGCAAGAGCTTGAAGCATATCCTTTAGGCAGCTCAGCAGGTAATAGTTAGTTCAGTGGTAATCTTTTTTCTGTGTTGATTGTACCCCCAAGGAAACACATGACTAAGCTCATACAAAAGAAGAAACTTGCAATTTAAGCAAAGTATGAAACTTGAAGTGCTAAGATGGTTCAGCCATTCTCCCTTGGTTTTCTACTCCTTAAATTGGGCTGTTGGTTCTGTGTCTCATCTACCTTATGCACCTCACAACTTGTTCTTTTTGATTGGTGCTTCTTCATAGTTTTTGCAACTTGTAGATGTTTATCTCATACATTTTTCTCTAGCTTTTTATAGAATAAAAGGTAGCAGTCTTATCACAGTATGCTAACTGAGTGAATCCTTTGTGACTATCACAATGGTATTCTCATTTTTTTATTCTCGTTTTAAATTTCATATTTGATTTGTAAGCTTCATATTGAAATACTGATAACAATATTGTGGATCCTTTGAACATTCAACCAGTCAGTTAATACTACTGTTATTTCTTGTTATTTCCCTTGTTACTTTAAAAATGTCCTGTAGTATGTGATGAATGCACTAGAACTATAAAGACCACGTATTCAATAAATTTTAGAGTATATTTTTTTCCCAATGCTGATTTAAATTATGAAAGTTTTAGATACTATTTACTGCTTTTCTTAATAATATTTGCAGAATCATTGTTAAAAGTTGTCTTTATATCATTGCCCAGGGAATCCTCCTGAACTTAAACCAGTTAATCAAGGAACCTTGACGATTCAGGGTCTGCATTTAAGTATGGTATCATTTAGAAAGATGAGTTTTTTCACAGATAAAAAGGAAATTCAGAAATCTGCTACAGCCTTAGGATATGTTGCACATGTAAGTTTTAATACCTCCATGGTCTTATTTTCATTATATCTGATATGGTCATGCCTTAATTTATATCTTGGGTTTTTCATAATCCATGCCAAAAATTCGTGTTGTCGTATACATATTGCAGCGTGTCTTATGTACAAAAAGCTTGATCGGTTGTCCTTTTGTTTTCTTTTCAAATATTAAACTTTTGTATTCTCAACCGTGGTAGTTTTTATATAACTCATGTGTGGACCTAATAATTTTTGAAATATGCTTTACTACTGATTTTTTTTCCAGGCTGTTTCACTTATAGCTTCATACTTGCAAGTTCCTCTACGTTATCCTGTACGGCTGGGGGCCTCTCATTCATATATTATTGACAATGCACCCTCAATAGAGCTAACCTCTTCTGAAGCTTCAACAAGTGCAAAATCTTCCACAAACGTCAAACATGTAGAGTTCCCCCTATTTTTAGAAGGGCAAGACACAACAAGAGCAACTTATGCTGTATTCTTACTAAGCAAGGTATATATATCCCAACCCTTTGTAAAATGCTCTTGAATTTGGGCCCTGCTAGGTAAATTGACTGCTTTTGTGTATCTCAAATATGAGGGCTGTCTTCAGTTTTCCACTCTTAGCGAGCGGGATATCATTATGCTACTGTGTAAATCTTCATTCTGATTAATCTTGACTTCAATGCTCATTTCACTTATGGTTTCTGACTGTAGGATTTAGAGCAGCTTTTGAATTTCATCGGTGCCAAGAGTTTGGGGCCACGCCATGTATTGGCCAATTTGAGGGAACTTTGTAGAACTATCCAGTCTTCAGATTTTCTAGACAACTTAATCTAGTACTGTTGTCTGAACTTTATCTTGTAAATTGGTTTTTGTTAATTCATACATGGGTGCAATTTTTTTGGGGCACCGTCAAATGTAGCATTGTTATCAAAGTTGAGTCAAACTTTCTATAATGGATTTCATATTCTTTTCGAATGTATACACATCTGTTGACTATGTTCTTCTTTTGAAAGAACATGGCCGATGAATTTCTTGCGGAGATGTTATGTTAATACGTTATACGACATTTTTTAGACACGGATTACCCAATACATGTTGGCTAAATTTTACAACATTGCTAAAGGATGAAATGATATTTGTTAAATGTAAATTTGGTTTAAAGTTTGAAATTGATTATGGATGCATATAATTGATTTTGATGTGTTTAATTGTTCACGGATAAAATTGATTATACTTTTTAACCATTGATTCTATTTGAAATTAAGATTTGTTATTTTAAAAGTGATTTTTACATTGAATATATTGTGCAATTTACTTTTTCAATAATTTATTTAAATATAAATCACTGTACCTTTAATTCCTTTTAACTAAATTAATTTTACATTGTCAATTTTTTTGCCCCCAAAATCAAACATATTTTATATATTGTGAAAAGACAATAGAATAATTCAAAGCATTTCATGAGAATTATCTAAAGTTCAAATCCACCAAAAAAAATTGATGTCCGGTGAAAAAGAACAATGACAATTAAAATAAATGAAAAAAAATAAAACAATAATTTCATATAATATGACATCAATTTAACTTAGCAAAGATAAACTAAAGATAATAAATATAATAATTTGGTTACTCGTTTAAATGATTTATTCTAGAAGAGATATTAATTCTCGGTTTCAATATATTTTCAAAAATTGTTACAAAAAATTACAAATGAGTTAAAATAAATAGTCACTCAAATTTTCAAGAATAAACTATATTTTCTATTCAAATATTTTTCAATCTCTCTAACTCTATATATAAATCACACAAGGTTGATGTGTTTAGAAATATTTCTCAATCTCTCTTAGATATCTTCAAGACATTCACAAATTTCAAAAACACACTCTTAGAAATTTACCCTTGCCTATATAAGATTACCACAACGATTTCCAAACTCTTCTCCCTATCTTTGATTTTAAGTTTTGAAGATTTTGATATCAAGCATGAAAAATATACATATGTATAATTGTCGAAACCCAACGAATCCATAACAAGTCCAAAACAAAATCCATAAACGAACCACGAACTATGCCTAAATACACGCAAATCGAGAAAACCAAACCCCTAACTCTAAATGTCTCCCTAAAGGTTCATGTTTTTTTAGTTTTGCAACCCTTCAACCACATTAAAAGCATTACATCCAAGCTTTACATAACTGATTCTTTGAAATGCTTCAATCTTCCTCTTTATCTTATCACGAGTCAAATGATAATCAAAGGCTTTTGTAATGCTCTCTCACCACTAATAATGTCCATAGTATGAGCCTTCATCTTAAATTGAGTCTTCTCTACTATAATTTCTAAATATTTTATCCCCAAGTCTTTATTCTTCTTCCGTGATGGGAATAACTTAAAGTAATACATCTGCGGTTGATGAACTTTGATACTCTAAGTTCCACTTCCAACAACTCATAACCCTTATTACCTCTTGGGTAGCCATTGAAGCCACAAACCACAAATTTACCATCAAGCTGAATTGACTAGATTCGATCAATAAACAAAGTTTTGACGAACTTCAAAATAAAGTAGGCTATTGTCTTCCTACTCCAAACCTCTACAAGTATTTAAAAGTTTATTCTTGTAAATGAATATCTACCAACTAGGTAAGCTACTTTGGCACAAACCTTAGTGATCAGTCACCATTTGTGCTAGGTATTTCACTATTCAACTGTAAGAAAATCAAGTAAACTGTGTGATTTTAAGCGTTTTTAGTTAGAATTTGAAGTATTTTAATTATATGCAGTATTTCATTACTTATGAGTTTCTTGAGGATATTTTACACTCTTGGTATGTTAGCAGGTTAAAAACAGGTTTGGAAGCTCAGAGGATCAAACATCAGATGCGGAACTGAGCCGAAGTGAGAAAACAGAAGAGAAAGCCACAAAGTGGAGGATCTGTTGTCCATACGCGTATCACTTCAGCTGATACACGTATGGCCCCCTAACTTACGCGTAACACACGTGTCGCTACTGCGAAAATCGGCGCCGGCTTGACAGGAGAGTCGCCACCGTGCGTTATTTATCCCTCAGAGCGGGAAAGGAAACGCTCGAAGTAAACCTCGCAAAGACGGGAAAAGGTATGGTCATCGCAACCAAAACCTGGATTCGGGAGTCGGTTACGCAAGGGGAAGGTATTAGCACCCCTCACGTCCATCGTACTCGATGGGATCCACGCTTGGTGTTTATAGGTAAAAGGGTGTGTTATCTATCTACGCTAATGGCTGGTCTGAAAAGAAAATAAAAGGACAGGACTCGACAGAACATACGGTGTTCTGGGCCTACGTATTCCCTCGTGCAATGGGAAAGTCAGAGTCAACGTAGTTCGACTGCCTACGTCTAAACGGGGGAAAGATTGCTCGCCAGGACATCGCGTCCTGTGCCTACGTACTTTCATCTGAAATGAAAGATCAGAGCAAACGTAGTTCGGCTAACTACGGGTAAACAGGGGCTCTCACACAGCAGTGAGAAAACAAACTGGTCTCTAAGGCTCGGGAACCTACAGCTACGATCTAGTCTCAAATGCACTCGGGCAAGAGAAAGGGGTAACAATTAGTCGTTAGCGGGAAAGTCTCGATCGCACAGCCGCGAGAGAACAAAGGTTAGTCGTTAGTGTGCTCGCTAGGATATCGCATCCTATGCCTACATATCTTCGTCTGGAACGAAGAATCAGAGCAGCTGTAGTTCAGCTAACTACGGATCAAGCTACTCAAAAGCTCCTACAGAAAGGAAAGGGAAACCCTAAAAACTATATCTGAGAAAGGGGAATCTACCTACTGCTACCACACCTGGTTGACCATTCTAATGTCTATCATAACAACTCCGCAGCGGAGAAGTCAGGGCTCCTAAGGGATCATGGCAACAGGATTAAACCACAAACAAGAAACTGCAACGTAAATGAATACTGAAAAATATGCATGAATGCAACAACTAGACGAACAAGGCACAGAGGCCACAAACCACAAAGGCAAGGGAGCTCAGCTCTACCAAATACCAACAAGCAAAGCCACGCAATAACAAACAAGCAGAAGGAGGACCACCTCAACTTCTCATGCACACAAAGTCTACTTCTAAGATGCACCTACTCAGAAACTATCTAGATGAACCTAAGTCTAATGCAACACAATATCACACAAGTCAAACAATACAAAGAGACTAACCCTGAACAGGGCCTCAAACAAACCTGAAACAAGCTCCTAATCTAGCTCTAAACAGAACTCTATACAGCACCCTAAGCAGGGATCTAAGCAAACACCTAACCAAAACCTAAGCAGGAGGAATCAATCCCAGTCTCCAAGCTTCAGAACAAGCTTACCAGAGAAAGGAAGCTAAGCAGACAAGCTCATGGTATCTTCCTCAGGAAAGTACCAGGAGGTCACTACTCAGGAATCATATCCTATGCGGCTCGACAACTGTGATCAGTTTACATCCCTCCTCAGGAGAGATTAAACTCACATGAAGGCTCCGGCGTCACTGGATATTTGGGAAAGAACCTATATGCACTAAGGGAACTAAGTGAACAGACTCATAGGACCTTCCTCAGGAAAGTACTAAGAGGCTGACACTTAGGAATCGTATCCTACGTGGCTCAACAACTGTGATCAGTTTACATCCCTCCTCAGGAGAGATTAAACTCACAAGTTGGCTCCAACATCACTGGATACTTAAGAAATCCTAGACAAACTACTGGAACTAAGTGAATAGACCCATAGAACCTTCCTCAGGAAAGTACTAGGAGACTTCCACTTAGGAATCGTATCCCATGTGGCTCAACAACATGTGATCAGTTTACATTCCTCCTCAGGAGAAATTAAACTCACAAGTCGGCTCCGACATCATTGGATACTTACGAAAGAGGTGAGAAGGAAGGATGAAAGTCATTCACAGTGCCTTCCTCAGGAAAGTACCATAAACTCCCTTCAAACTTCGGGATCTCGAACCTCACAAACAGACAACAAGCTCCTAGACTAAGCCTCAATCCAATGCATCTCTGCAAGCTCCAACAGGACTTCAATCAGCTCCCACCTTCAGGAAGAATCCACAGGCCAACAAACTACAAAAGACTATCTCTGAAGTTCAACCACAGTTGAACTCCAAAGTCAGAAGTCATCAAGACTTCCCCTATCTTCAGGCTCAGACAAATCACAGCAGAACACCCTACAAAAATCTATCAAAAATCTACGGGGAAACCTACATGGCTCTAGGGTAACATACTAAAAAATCAGAACAAAATTCAACACCAGATGAAAGAAATAAAATCAGCAACACAGATATATCCACAGACCAATTATTCAAACATCAATAACGGTGGAAAAAATGCAATTAAAATGAAAATGCATGATTGAGCTAATATTTTTGTATTATAAAATTCTATACTGAATCACGAGTCTACAGAAAAAAGAACGGAATTATTTGACTAAACCTACTATTTTTTATGAATTTTCTAATGATATGCATGCATTAAAAATATAAAAAGAAATCAATTAATGGAAAATATGCACTAAAATAGAAAATAAAAATAAAATGTCCTTTTTTATTTTTATTTAATTTTCTTAACATTTTCATCAAATGGTTGAAAAAGAATTATTAACAAACAATTATTTACAATTATGATTTATTTACATGTATTAAAATATAAAAGAAAAAATCAAAAATAAAAGAAAGTAACATGGAGGGGGGTTTAAACAGCAAGAGACTTATGAAGGATTTCTAGCTGGGCCCTGATTCTGGGGGTGCCACTAGCAAATGGGGCGCAGGGCCCAGATTGATTATCCAGAAAAAAACAAAAAAAAGCTGAGCT